GGGCCAGGGCTAGGGCCGCGTTGTCTGACAGGCTGCCTGTCGCCCAGGCCGACCTGCGGCCTGCAGGGCTGTTGGAGGGAAGACCCAGAGTTGGGCTCCCAGGGCCACAGACAGAGGTTTAGAATTCCTGATAATACAGAGGAGAAAGCATGCCCTGTTGTCACACCTGTGTCAGAGCCTAAGCTGTTGGTGATGACTGAGTAATTATTCTGACCTTTTTCCCAGATCTTTAGCAATTAAGGAGTTTTTTTCAAAGCCCAAGTATAACCACATTTTGAAACCAGAAGACTGTCTTTCTGAGCCGTGCACTATATTACAGCTGGACATGAGGACAGTGCAGATCGCTGATCTGGAGGTGAGGCTATATAGTCGGTGTGCACATGTGTGAAACTTATGCAAATAAACAGATTCATACACTTCCTGGTATTGATTTTCCCAGTCTTTTTTCTTATGTTCTATTCTGATTTTCTTTTATATTTTTCCATTTTTTTTTCTAGTTAACCTCTTTAACATCTCCCATTATTTTTAATATTATCAGCATCTCCAGATTCAAATAAATTATATCCAATTTCATGATGGAATTTGAATTACAATTTTTTTCTAAGTTTTTTTAGCTACCTTTTACAAAATTCTTAGTTATTTCTTTTACTTACCCTCTCTTGCCACAAGGGGGAGTGTGTGGGTTCAGGAACCTCTGGGGGAGCCAATGTTTGAAAACCCCCAACTGGGACTTTGATGGGCAAAATAGTGTGGGAATTGAAGTTTTGAGGCTTTAGCTAGTTTCAGCTACAATTGTAGCAACCCAGTCTTGAACTTTCTATGCAAAGAACTGAGAAGAGACAGTATTCATAATTTGGGGGTAGAAAATTAGGCAAACAAGGCCCAGACTGCTTGAAACCTTTCTTGATTGTCTGCTATATTTGAATTCACAATGCCAAGTGTTAATATTTACTTTCCCTAGGAGGAAATTCTATATGGATTTCAATATGTTCAGCTAAACTAGCAAGTTGTAGGTTTGTTTCATAGTTGCTGAGGTAGGTGGTACAGATCTTGGTTCTGGGCAGTGTTGTAGGGTTTGTGAAATGTGCCCAAGCAGAGGAAGTGGCTGAGCCTCGCTCAGACAGAGCCTGAGGTAGCCTGTGTCACGTGCCTGTGCATCCGTTTCCATTTTCTTTTCTTTTTTTTTTTTTTTGCTTAAACATAGACAATGAAAGGTGACCTGTGCTTTGATATCAAGAAAGCTGGCACTCTGCATGGATTTACGGCCTGGTTCAGTGTCCGCTTTCAGAACCTAGAGGAGGAGGAGCCGCAGCTGGTGCTGAGCACGGGACCGTTCCACCCGTGAGTTTCTGCTCCTCCCGCGGGTACACGGGTGGCTCTCCGTGGAGTGTATAAGGGTTTGCCTTCAAGTTTTAGGCATGACAAAAAGCATGACCGAGTCATGAATTTAAAGATCTAGTAATTTTGAAAGTTGACTTAAAATCTCTCCAGACCAGCTGACCCCTGGGCTGGGAGCTGAGGTGTGGAGCTAGGTGTGCAGGCGGGTGGGCGCCGGGGCCCAGGCTGTGTGGCGGTGAGTTGGGGTCTAGTGCCCCAACTTGTCCCTGCTCTGGGCTTGCTCAGGATGCTCCTGGACCCCCTAGATAAACAAACCGGGGCTTCGGGATGAGCAGACTCTGACTTCTTTCAGTTGCCCTAAACGCTGCTACAGCTTCTCACAGTTAGCAGCACTCCAGGGGCTTTAACTCAGATTTTCTTATGGAAGGCAGATGTTTCTTGAGACACACGTTCTGTGCAAGAGTTTTGTGGCTGCACGCTCGTGCCCACGCCGGGAGCTGATGTCTGCTCACGGTGCTGACCCAGCAGCCCGTGCAAATTCTGCTTTTGTGGGCGACTTTCAGTAACTGCCCTAGACACTCCCCTCAGGCACAGGGGTCAGTCAGAAGTGAGCAAGGCACCAGGGAGGGGTGTCGTTGTGGTATTTGGGCCTGAAGGACCCCGGCTGGCATTCTGTGAAAGGAGGGTGAGGCTAAGAGCTGCTTGTCTAAAGCGTCCTTTGGAGGTTGCAGGGCTGGGACTGCAGCCAGTCCTTGCCGCACCCACTGCGCAGATGTGAGCGCTCACCTCTGAACCAGTGGTGAGCGGTGTGTGCCTGGGCCCTTCTCCACCTGAGTGTCTGAGGGGGTTTAACTACACACAGGTGTACGAGGAGGAGGGCGAGGCGGCCAGCGCCTCAGCTGAGCATGACCATGAGGCCACACTGGGTGCTGGGGTACATGTCCGGGGCCAGAGCCTACAGAACTTAAAGGGTCCCAGAGTGTTACTGTTTCCCCCAGATGTCAGAGTTGTCTCTTACACATAAAACCTAACTTTCACAGAAATAACAACATATTTTGGACAGTTTCATCAGTGTGCATTTTTTCTTAACTGCAGAAACTGGAACTGCGGGCATCAGTGGCTTAGAGAAGGAGCTGGGTGGTTTGGGGTGGATGCCTGCTGTGCCCAGATGTGGAGGCTGGGTTGACCCTTTGAGGGGCCGGGGAACAGGCATCACATGGGAACCCTGTGTCTGACCATGTCCCTGAGCACCCCAGTGTCCCCTGGGCCATCAGGGTGAGCCCCCTTGCCTCTCCCGGAACCTGAGCAGTGTCCAGGTGCTGTGTCCTCACTGGGCTGTGTCTGTCCTGCAGTAACCCTGAATAGTTGGGCCCAGGGAGGGAGCTCCAGTAATGCCACCCCTGTGTCTTGTAGCACCACCCACTGGAAGCAGGTGCTGTTTATGATGGATGAGCCCGTCCCCGTCTACGCAGGGGATGTGCTCACAGGCTCGATTGTGCTGCAGAGAAACCCAGTGTGGAGGAGGCACATGTCTGTCGCTCTGAGCTGGTCTGTCACTTCCAGACAGGACCCCACGTCGCAGAGAGTAAGATATTTAGCTATAAAGTCATCTGCTGTGGTGCTGGGCTGGGGGATGGGTCTGTGGTGATCACAGTGGTGGGTGCTCATCCCTGCCCTGGCCTGACACCATGGCCATGCCTTGTCTGCATCGTTTTTCTAACCCTCATGATGGGAAGTGGCTGCTGTTATTTCCAGAACAGGAAACGTAGATGCAGGGAGGTAAGTGGTTTGCTCTGTGACACAGCTAGTCAGTGAGAGGAGACCCAGACCAGGCCGGGGGCCATCCCTTTTGTATCGATTTCTCTCGGTGGAGAGAAATGGCCGAGGGCTGAGCCACCATGTAGCCTGGCACACTCCTGGTGCCCACAGGCCATGGGTGTGCAGCTGTTCAGTGTGAAGGGCATGTTCTGACCAGGTGGTGGTTTGAGAACTGAGGAGCCGTTGCTCCCACAGGTGAAACAGTGCAGCTGGTGGGGCCTTAGGCTTCAGAAGCCACTGGAAAATGGATTCTCTTCTTCAGACTCAGGGTTAATGTAGGAAGGAAAAGAAAATCATCAAATGATTTTCCATTATTTTTGATACCTGTTTGGTGCTTGGCTTTACGGTAATTTTATGTTAAAAGTTTGTCATTTAAAAAATTTTAGCACCTGATTGCCGTTCTCTTGTCCAATATTAAATTATTAGTAGGAAATGCTGTGTGTTAATCAAACGTTAACAATTTATTATTTGAGTGATTTGTTTTCTTTATCTTTCCTAGGTTGGAGAAAAAGTCTTTCCAATCTGGAGATGACAGTTGAAGTTCTGTTTGGGAAGCAGTGTGAGCTTGTTGGAGGAATGCACATGAACGAAGGAGATCACACCTGATGTGAATACTCATTAATTACTGTGAAAGCCTGCGGACGCTCACTCTGCTTGGCAGGTGGTACCAACCTTCTCTGTGGTCTCCACAGACAAACACGCTCAGCTGCCCTCGCCACTGTCACTGCCTGTGTCTGTCCTCTAGAAGTAGGCTGTGTTTCCAGGTGTCCACCAATGGTGTCCACAGTTGCCCCCCTGTGGGTAGGCTGGGGGCACAGTGTTCCTAAGCTAGGTCTAGTTCTACACTCATAGGACACACGCGTCAACCTTGTACTCCTGTGAAAGTGACTGTTCGTGCATCATGTGTTAATGGTGTCCTTCCTGCCCTCAGTTCATCCACTCAACACGCAGAATGTGGGGTTGCACAGAGCCGTGCAGGACCTCGAGGTGGCAATGCATGCGTTGGATCTCTGCATGAGATAGTACCTTGTAGAGATGTCTTCCAAATAAATCATGTGTTGGCACATAGTACATCTCAATAAATATTTTTAAATAAATGAATGGTCCATGTAGGTCCTGCTTCTGTGCATGTACATTATTTGTACAAGCATGGGATCATACTAGGAACATTGTGTTATAACCTTTTCATCTAATATTAGGATGAAACTTCCATGCTAGTAGGTGCACATCCATATTTGTGTGTGTGTGTTGTTTGGATTTTTAGTTAATTTTTTATTGAAATATAAAATACATACCCCAGGCTGCACAAGTCATGAAATTTCACAATGTAGACACACGTAACCAGTACTTAGGTCAAGACGCTTTCACACATGATGCCCCCAAGTGCCCCTTCCACTCAGTACCAACTCCCCAGAGTTATGCCTGACTTCTGACACTATAGATTACTTTTACCCAGTTTTGGACATTTTGTGAGTGGAATTATGCAGTGTATATTTGTTATAGACCGAATGTGTCCTAAAATTTGTAATTTGAATCCTAGCCCCAAATGTGATATTATTTGGAGGCGGGGGCCATTGGGAGGTGACTGGGTCATGAGGGTATTATCTCTCATATAGGATTAGTGCCCTCATGAAGGACACCCCAGAGAGTGCCTTGTCCCTTCATCATGTGAGGACACCCTGAGAAAGTTGTCGTCTATGAACCAGGAAGCTGGCTCTCACCAAAGCCCAAAAGGGTCAATTTCTTGGTGTTGGACTTCCAGCCTCCAGAGCTGTGAGAAATAAATGTCTTTTGTGTAAGCCACCCCTTCTGGCATTCTGGTATGGCAGCTGGATGGTCTAAGACTTCTTTTGTGTCTGCCTTCTCTAGTTCACATTATGTTTGTGAGAATTGTCTATGAGTTGTGTGCAGTGTGGTTGCCTTCTCGTTGCTATGTAGTATTTTACTGTATGGACGTACCACAACTTCTGTGTCTTATTCCACTCTTGGTGGGCAGCTGGGTTGTTTCCAGTTCCCAGCTATTATGTTTGGTGCAAATGTAAACATTTCTGTGTGGGTTTTGGTGCATGCTTCTGCTGAGTATACACCAAGGAGCTCAGCTTTGCTAGAAATGGACAGTTTTTCAGAGTCAAAGAACCTCATGTCTCTGTGCTCCGTGGCCTCATCAACACCGACTGTTGTGTGTTTTCCTTTCACTTGTTCTGGTGTGTGTGTGTGTGTGAAGATAATTGCATTTCCCTGATGGCTAATGCAGCTTCATGTGTTCACTGGCCATTGGCTATCCTACTTTAAAGTGCTTGTTCAAGACTTTTGCCCTTTTTACTATTAGGGTTGTTTTTCCCCCAATTAATTTTTCAGGGGTTCTTGATATACTCTGACTAGGAGCCCTTTATCATATATTTATCTTGTGACTGTCTTCTACTCTGTGGCTTGTTTTTCACTTTCTTTAGAGTATTTTGATAAACGGAAGTTCTTCAGTATTTTTTGTGTCCTGTTTAAGAAATCTTTGCCTATTCCGAGATCACGAAGATATTCTGTATTCTCTGTTACAGCCTGCACTGTCTTAGCCTTTGCACTCAGACCAGCATTCCACCTGGAGCTGACTTCTGTCATCGGTGTGAGGGAGGGGTAGGATTTATTTTCCTCCGTGAGGCAGACGCTTGGATTGTTTGATTCCCGACCTCTTTCCTTTTCTATTACATGCATCAAAAACCGAAATTTCCTCTCGAACTGCTTTAGCTGCAACAACATTATTTTGATATATTTTTGAAACCATGCAGTTTACAACATTTAAAAAATTCTGTTATGATTTCTTCTGCTTTACTATGGGCTGTTCAGAGGTGTGTGGCTTAATTTCAAAAGGTGGGATGTTTTAGTTAACTTTTCTTACCGATCTCTTGCTTAATTTCACTAGGGTCAGAGAGCAAACGGTGATTTCAATCCCTTGAAACTGTTGACTCCTGTTTTATAACTCAGTATATCAGTTGTAGTCATACGCACTTGAAAACAGTGTGTGTCCTACTGCTGTTGAGTGCGAAGCTCTAAATATGTCATGTTCCTCAAGTTTGTTAATTGTGGGTTCTCAGTCACCCTGGGCCCTGGTTGCCGCCCCACGCACGTCAGGGCGAGCCCCTGGGCGATGATGCAGTGGGACTGGCTGCAGCGGGAACAGCAGGGGGCGCTGGACTGCACCCTCGGCCCGCCAGCCCCTTGGTGAGTGTCCCCAACACTGAGGCCGCTCTGGCCCATCCTCATCACTGTGGGGAGAGGTCGCATCAGAGCCCCGCCACACGCAAGCCCGCCCTCCCTCAAGCCCTTTGGAGTCCAGGGACACGCGAGCATTTTCCCCAGTTCCCATGGGGGCCCCACTCTGCGCACATGATTCTCTGCGCAGTGTATCATGTCCGCGAGGTGAATGAACAGGTAGTCCCATCCCTTCCTGCACAGTTCGCTCTCTGGGTAACCCAGGACCACCTTGCCTGTGGAGACACCCACATCCTTACCTTACCACCTCACAGTAAGGATCAGAGTCAGGCGCCACCCCATGGTGGGGCAGCCCTTTTAGCTGTGTACCCACCCATCAGATCACATGCTGACCCAGGGCCGAGGAGCGATCTTCCTGTGGACACTCCTGCAGAGCAGGGCTGGGGCAGGGCCTTGAAGAGAGAGGCCTCCGCACTGAGAAGAGGGCAGTGCCCTCTCAGATACTCTTGCCACACATGTCCCAAATCCTGTGGGAAGCCCACGCCCAGTTTCTGTGCTGGAGAGCAGGGGTCTGTACGAAAACTGCATGCGGAAGGAAAACTACATGTGGAAGAACAGGAGGAGTTTTTGTTAAGTTCTGGTGGCTGTCATCAAAGGGCTTTGTAACTCCCCAGTGTGCTAAGGACTGGTGTTTTGAATAAGAGAGAAAACTTGCAAGTCACAGTACTAACGATATGTTGGGCCACATGGTCTTGAACCAGGGCTTTCTAGAATGTATTCTAAAAGGCACTGGTATTGTGGCATGTTAACTGATGTTTCCCCAACAAAGGTTCAGTGGTCTAATAACTGGGAACAATCGCGTCAAACCTAGTTAATAAGATTTCTTCACAGTGGGACTTGTAGGTTCATTTTGATCTGTTAGTGGACGTCTCTGAGAGAGAGAGACAAGTATTTCCCAGGATCTGCTGTCTGCATCACACTCTAACCCAAGCCCCATATTCCCACATGGAAGGTTTGCTACATACCTTATAAACAGCCTATTATCTGCTTGCTTTACAGAACCCATTTTGACATGAGTGAATAATTGTTTTTGCTTTGCTTTTGGTTCTAGACTCAGGATTTGGGCCATAACTAGTCTTGGAGCACTCTTGGGTTCCTTGGAGTCATGATTTCTGGTTAGGAGAATGTACCTGGAATCACAGGCCATAGGTGTGAAATCTAATTTATGTTTTGTTTGGAAAAGAGATGTTTTGTTCTGGAGCTCCAGGATGGTGAGTGGCTGGCGAGGTGTTGCACTGGCAAACAGGGTGAGCCAAGAAGACACGAGGATGTCATCCTTTGACTTAATTGTTCTGCCGAGGGAGGAATTTAAGATGGCCGTGGAAATTCAACCCCCCCTAGAAAAAGCAGACCCCAAACATAATGAGCAGAGAAAAGAGAAGAGTATGTTAAATTGCTAAAACGATAGATGTAACTTCCCCCCTTATGGAACTGAGTCCAGTGTCCAGGAGTGGAACGGGCAGGACTCCTCCCTCAGCCCCAAAGCACCGATGCGCACAGGTTGGGAGCCCCTTTATTCTTCTGCCCTGCCCATTGGGTCCTGATCAATTTTCATGGCCCCTCGGTCCTCCCTCAGGCACCCGGCCCACAGAGCCTTTTTCACAGGGCTGCAGAGTGGAGCACTTTTGAACTGCGAAAGGGTATATAGTTCCAGGAATCGGTGGCACTGCCACCTGATTTCGGTGATGGTGAAGGGTTCACCAGAGATCCCCACTTAGTGTTTTCCTATAAATACATACCCATGATCCATGATAAAATTCAATTTGTACATTAGGCACAGTAAGAAATTAACAACAGCTAAGATTAAAACAGAACACTTATAACAATATGCTGTAATAAAAGTTGTGTGAATGTGGTTTCTCCTCAAAACACCTCATTGTACTGTGCTCGCTTTTTCTTCTTGTGATGGTGTGAGGTGACGCAATGCCTGCGTGATGAAATGAATGGTTGGGCTTCGTGATGTAGATTAGGCTCCTACACCGGTCACTGAACACAGGCACTGCAGTCTTGCGTTGATCTGAGAACTGAGAGGGCCGCTAAGGGACCAAGGAGCAGGCAGTGCATCCAGTGCAGATGCACTAGACAAAGGGGTGCTCCATCTCCCAGGAGGGACAGAGGAACAGCACAAGGTTGCACCAGATTCCTCAGAAGGGCATGCTTCTGGCCATTGGGACAGCGTCAACAGGCCTGCAGCTTCGGGCAGCCTGGGCTCTGTCAAGCTGACCTCGCAGCTGGGCAATTGGACGGTTACCTGGGCAACATAGCGCCTTGGGATTTTTTAATTCCCAACATCCAGGAGGGTGAGACAAGCATCTCCTTCACAGCCTCAGCCTGCCGAGGGAGGTTAATAACCCTCCAAACGCTGAATGTGGCCGTGGCCACAACCATATAGCAGACTGCTACCCTGCAATCCTTTGGCCTTCCGGTTGTAACAAACCTCTGACATTCATACTCATTAAGAATCAAAGATAGCAGCAACTGCATCTCCCAACAAGTTTCACTCGAGGCTGCAGTCTCTGCGACCCGAATGTGTCCATGGTCCAGCCCCTGTGGCCTCTAGAAAGCTGGCCTACCTTGGATTCCATGGTGTGAAATAAATCCCTCAGCCTCCCGCTGCTTCGTCGAGCAAGCATTTCCCTGCCACCCTCGCCTTTGTCTCTGCTCTCGGTAAGGGAGAGAGGAGACTGGAATGAGCCGCGTTGTTCTTTGGGGATGGCTGGTTATTGTGGCTGCGCCAGGTGTGATTCCTGGGCTCCCATCTCCCAGGGACACGAATGAGCTCTGTTTGCCTTCCCGGGGCACATGGGTTCTTCTGAGATGCAAGGATCTGATGCCCAAGGCAGGAACCCTGAGTGCATCACCAACAGCAACATTGCTTTTTCAGCACGTGGAATTGCTTCTTGCCATTATGGGAGGACAGCAAGAGCACTGAACGGGTGTCTGCAGCCCATGACCCCAGGGGAACCCCTTCCTTCTGTGGGCTTCAGGTCCCACAGCTGTTCAGTGGGCCGTCAGTGATGTGGAATCTGCTGCTTTCCCGGAGCCAGCATCTGTTCCCATGCTCAAGCACCTATGTCCAGCACCTAAGCTTCCCTTTGGTAATGACGTCACCTGCTTCCAGTCCAAACAGTTCTTCAGTCCTGACCCCACGTGTAGCCATCTTCTGCTTGCTCCATTGGGTTCCAGAATGAGACTGTGACCCAAGCAAGGCCAAAGGCATTTATTTCATGGAACCCAAGGAAAGGAGAAGCCCCTCCTAGTAGAATGGACAGGGGGTGGGTGTCAGCCTGGCATTGTCGAGAGAGACTGTGCCTGTCAATGGGGCCACCCAAAGGCTCTTAGCAGGATGGAGGGTTGGAGAGGGACCCAGTCCCACTGTGGGAGTGTAAGAACCTGGACCTGCCAGGTCCAAATCCACTCTTAAACTTGCCTCTTGCAAGTGTTAATTTGTTTCTATCAACTAAAAATTGTAGGTCCAGTTTATTGCAATCAAAAATGCCCTGGCTGATACACCAGAATCAGTAATTCCTGAGGCTTCCTCTGCATGGTGTCTTCATGGCGGGGGGGGGGGGGTTT